TGTAGGTATGCATGTGGAGCAAGCTGTGTAAAAGTCTGCGGAGACTAAGATCAGACACGTTTAATGCAGGTATGTACTGTATTTGTATATAACATCTACTGCATACCGGATTGTATAAAATAAATATGACGTACTTGAACCTATAACCGATGTGTATCGAATAATCTTTCAACGACGAACGTTTTCATAACCCCTTCTGGGCTCTTCTTCAGGTGAAACAGCTGGATCAAACACCAGAAACGAAATTTGAAAAAATATACAAACTCTCTCGAGTTTGAATCGTTCGAATCGTTCGCTTATTTCATCAATGTATACAGTTGGCCCTCTATATATGTGGGTGCTGCATTACAAATTCAACCAACCATGGGTCAAAAATATTTGGAAAAAAAAAAATTCCAGAATTGTCCAAAAAGCAAAACATGAATTTGCTCATTTAGCAAGTCATTGCTTAATGTTATTTTGTTGTAACATTGTTGTGGAAAGATACAAGTACATTTACAGTTATTGTTAAATTTTCTTTATACAGTAAAATTGATTCTATGAAGTGGGGAATAAATGCTGGAGATTGCAAAAATGATCCAATAAGAATATTAACTGCATTCTTTTCTTAAAATCCAATTAATACAATATAATTTGTATTTGCTATACTTTCACCTTTTTTTCAAATAACATGAATGCATTATATCCATGTTAACAACATGTAAGACATCATTTAATGTCAATGCAAGCAAACTTTCCTATTTGCATTTGGCATTTTAAATTTACATTGCACCCTAGGTAATTTGATGGAATTGACAATTGTTTGATTTTGAACTGCATAGTGATAGGAGGTGTTTCTTACAATTTTCCCTTTGTAAAAATGTATTCTTTATTACTCACCTTTCTCTTTTTCAATGATGAGGATTTTGTTTGCCTTCCCATATACCACCTATTACTACTACAACCATCACTGTTCACTGATTCCCAAAACTGGATAATTAATTATCTTATTGGGCTACAATTTTCAAATTGCAGACCTATACATTCCCACTGTCGTTCATATGTCTGCCTGTCCTTCATTAATTCTTGAGAATGGAGTTAGGTAGATGAAAACTGAGATCAAGTATGAATAGCTTAGGGAATAGAGTTCTCTGATTAACTATATACAAACTTCCAGTTTGGACTGGAAGTCATATGATTTCAATTCAAAAATGTTTTCCAGAACAGAGCTAGATGACTGGCATGACTTGACTGTTACCACGAGAAGCATGATGTACAGGGGCTGGACACTGCTAAAATCTAGATGCGATATAGAGATTAGAGACCAAACACCCAATTAACTATATACAAACTTTCAGTCTGGACCAGAAGTCACATGATTTTTTTAAAATTAAAAGATGATTAAAATTTGCAGTCCAGCATTGTGACAAAATCACAATAATTAATTCTTTAATGTATTTATTTTTAAATTTTAAGAAATGACTAGAATTTGTTTTCATTACTCTTAAATATGATAAGCAAGCTCACATTTCTTTAAATCTTTCATATTAGAAGTGTTTTGGGTCTTAGAATTTTGGTGATGTTTTTGTGATCAAAAAATATGCCTTAGAAACATAACTTATTTATATCATTTAGCCTGTGTAGAATTGGTTTCATTGCACAGTAGGGCACTGATTATAAGAAAATCAACTATCTGAAATTGATTTCAGTGAGTACTAATTCCAGAAATTATGAAGTTTTAATGTAATAATAATTGTTGGCAATTTATTGGCTCATTATTGAGATATTAATTTTACTATTCTGCATTTTTTATTTTAAATTCAAAGTTTTTTTTAGTGTGCTGTAAATTGGAAAAGACTAATGATTGCTTTTTTAATAGACAATTTTCTTGTTATTTCTAATTATTTCTGTGTATTAAATTTCTATGCCTTAATCTTTGTACTATAAACATACTATACTTTTTTCTAGTACAAAAAATAGAGTTAAAATTAATATTTTTACTTGATTTTAAGATTTACAGTAGAGCGTCGTTTATCCGAAAGCTGGTTATCCGAAACGTCTGTTATCCGAAAGCATTCCAGTTGGCAAATTTAAATTTTCACTAGTGCTGTGGCGCTGCAATCTTCGGCTATTTCTTGGGCTACTCAAATATTTTACGTTTTTGATACTAAATTAACATCTAAAGTATAATTTTTTATTGTTTTTATATTTTCAATATATTTATTTTGTTTGTACAAAATAAAAAAATAATTTTTAACGATACAATAGTCTTCGTTAGGCTGAACATCGATGAAAATTCAACGC